TTTTTCATATGACATTTTCCAATGATACTTAAATTTTAAAATACTTGATGTTTAACTAAAACCAAAATTAGAACCAGAAGAGAACAGTACAAATTAATTGAGTCAATATAACTTGGCATTCTGGTGTGTTGAATATGATTAATGCTGAAAAGGAGGCATATATGTCCTACTACATGATATACAAAACAGCACACTTTGTAATTAAAATACTGTATCAAATTCTACTTTATACTCTTTTCCAAATTTTGTAATGTGTTAAAATATGAATCAGTCATTCTAGTGATTTAGTAATGGATTTTAACAAACCACTATAAATATCCTAAAACTAAGCTAAAACTAAGCTGTATTATTCATCTCAAAAATAAAACATGAAAATTTGCTTTTTCAGTGGCAATAAATACATGTTTCATGGGGTTTGGCACATAATAAATGCAAAAAGTAGTTACATAATGATATTTGTTAAGAATATGGGCTCCTGGAATCAGACCAATTGAGTATGAATCCTACTCATTATTTATAGCTTTGTGATCTCTGGCAAATTTCTCAAGCTTTCTAGTCCTCAGTTACTTCATCTGTAGTTTAGAGATAATAACAGAAACTACTCAACAGGATTATTTAAAGGATTAAACAGAAAAACTCTTTAGCGGAATTATATAAACATTGTATATCAGTATTACTGTTGTTGCAATTGTTATCTTTAATATTCTTGTGATTTTAACATGGAGGTACCTATGAATATCAGAGTAAATATAAATTGAATTGTGATAAATATTAATGTTTGTGCTGAGAGCCCCAAAATATAGGTACCCTAAGACTAAACAGCCCCCATTTCCCTTTCAGGTTCAAGTGTTGGCCTTTTTATTTATGCCGCCCTGCAGAGGATGTTGATTGAGTTCTATGGACTAGATGGGTGCTTGCTGATTGTGGGTGCTTTAGCTTTAAATATATTAGCCTGTGGCAGTCTGATGAGACCCCTCCAGGCTTCTGATTGCCCTTTACCTGAAAAAACAGCTCTGGAAAATGTGGCAGAGACATACTCCATTTACAGTGAAAAAGAAAAGAACCTGGAAGAAAACATTCACATTCTTGAAAAGAGCTATAGTAGCGAGGAAAAGTGCAAGGGCACATTGGCCAATGGTGACTGGAAACAGGACAATCTACTTCATAAAAACTCCACATCAATGACTCACACAAAAGAGCCTGAAACGTACAAAAAGAAAGTTGCTGAACAGACATATTTTTGCAAACAGCTTGCCAAGAGGAAGTGGCAATTATATAAAAACTACTGTGGCGAGACGGTGTCTCTCTTTAAAAATAAAGTATTTTCAGCTCTTTTCATCGCCATCTTCCTTTTTGACATTGGAGGGTTTCCCCCTTCATTACTTATGGAAGATGTAGCAAGAAGTTCGAATGTGAAAGAAGAGGAGTTTTTTATGCCTCTCATTTCCATTATAGGCATTATGACGGCAGTTGGCAAGCTCCTTTTAGGAATACTGGCTGACTTCAAGTGGATTAACACCTTATATCTTTATGTAGCTACCTTAATAATCATGGGCCTGGCCTTGTGTGCAATTCCATTTGCCAAAAGTTATGTCACATTAGCATTACTTTCTGCGATCCTGGGGTTCCTCACTGGGAACTGGTCCATCTTTCCCTATGTGACCACGAATACTGTGGGAATTGAAAAACTAGCTCATGCTTATGGAATACTGATGTTTTTTGCTGGACTTGGAAATAGCCTTGGACCACCAATTGTTGGTAAGATATTTCTCTTCAAGTCAGTTCACTTTTACTATTCTTCATTGTGACATCTCCAGATAAAGAAAGACAGATTGTGATAATAGTGCAGATTTGCACAACATTATTCAAGATCACTTTGATATAGTTGAGGAACCAAACATACTTTCTCCGGCGTGGCCCCCATTCTTTATTTGGGAGAAATGTCTGCCCACCCACGTTAGAAGTAGGTGGGGTGACATATAGAAAACTTTCCTAATCCTAACTGCATATAAAATTGATGGAACTTGGATATGGGGTTGGTATTCGTACTATTTTTATGAAACTCACTTTTTTCTTACTGTCATTTCAGGTTGGTTTTATGACTGGACCCAAACCTATGACATTGCATTTTATTTTAGTGGCTTCTGTGTTCTGCTGGGAGGTTTTATTCTGCTGCTGGCAGCCTTGCCGTCCTGGGATACCTGCAACAACAAACTCCCTAAACCAACTCCAACAACGTTTTTGTACAAAGTTGCTTCTAATGTCTAGAGGAATATTGGAAGCCATTCTTTTGCCATTTTATACCATAGAGCAAAACATATTTTTTAAAAATTCTCAAGCAAATTCTCTAACAGTTAAAGACTGTTTTCTCACAACAAAATTTCACTGTGGCTGACTCTGAATGTGGATTTTTTAAAAAACAGATTTCATTCTTTATGTACTGTATGTGTAGCCTCTGTCTCCTGTATGTTTCCCCTCCCTCCCTCCCTCCCTCCCCCAAAGTAGACTATTCTGTTCTACTATTATTCATTAGTTATGTTTCATATTGTAAAACATTTGACCAGCCTCTAAAGATTTTCTCTGTAGAAGTATAAATTCTTTGCCAACCCCCCTTAGTTCCACTACAAAACACCCAGAGGGCTCTCTTCAGTTTTAAAATTGACGCCTGCTGGGTGTGGTGGCACACACCAGTTATACTTTCTGGAACCCAGGAGGCTGAGGCAGGAGCATCTTGTGTTCCAGGCCAACCTGGACAACTTAGTGAGACCTCGTCTTAGAATAAAAGATAAAAAGGCCTGGGATATAGCCCATTGTTAAAAGTATCCCTAGGTTCAATCTTTAGTATCCCCCAAAATTAAAAATAAAAATAAATGAAACTGATGCAAGCCTCATGATGAGATATGTGTAAAGGTCACTAGGGAGTAAATGACTTCCTTCTCTGTTACACCTGCTGCTAGTCAGTAGAAGGCATCAAAGCCATTTCATTTCCGGAAATAAAAGTGGCTATAAAAACAACATTAGACCAGGCATGGTGGCGCATGCATGTGATCCTCGTGACTCAAGAAGCTGAGGCAGAAGAATTGCAAATTCTAGGCCAGCCACAGCAATTTAGTGAAAGCCAGTCTCAAAGTAAAATATAAAAGTCTGAGGATATAGCTAAGGGTTTGAACACCCCTGGGTTCAATCTCCAGTACTACCAAACAAACAAACGGGCAGAAAATAGCATTAAAACTTACAGTGGAATGAACTGATCACTTAAAAAAAAAAAAGATATTTTAAATGATAGTCATCAGTTTCCATTATTCTATTTTATTTACCTTGAAGTACTCACATGGTGTTTGGGGCCCATGGTGCATCAACTGTTTTGATTCCTAAGGTATTTGCTGAGATGCAGGCAAACTCCAGCAGCACCCACCAGAGCCCTTCTTCATGGCTGTCCACTAGAACCTCACTCACTTGTGTTTGTCATCACCCATTCAGCTGACATTTCACAAGAAGTGCTGATTTTACCCATTTCCAAATTGGAAATGTATTTTTTTAACCATTCCTCCTAGCAAGTAGCAAATATCCATTTGCTTTGGGCACAGTGGTGATGGGTTGCAAACCTTTGTATAACTTCCTGTGAAAGCATTTATTTGCTACTATCAGATCTTACCACTATCATTTTTTAATTCAAGGGCAGAACTAAAAAGTGTGTGGTGTGTGTATGTGCATGTGTGCATGTGTGTGTGCCTGTGTGTGTGTGTGTGTGTGTGTGTGTGTGTGTGTGCTCTGAGTCTGTGTGGAACATGGGAAGGTAAAAAAAAATCCTGATAAGTTGATACCCTTTCCAATCTCACTTAATCTTAAGAACAATGTTCTAGAAAGAAAATAATGTTTAATAAATTGATAGTTTTCCCCTCTAAAGAAATGGGGTTTTAAACTTTGGTATGTATCTGAATCTCCTATAGATCCTTCAAAAATTATGCGGACATGGATATGCTTAGAAATTTTAATTCTGAATGTTTTAATTCTGTAAGTCTATTTGGCTGTGGCCAAGCATCTCTATTTCTAACAAACTCTACAAATGATTCTAATAATAAGGCCTGGGTTGCAAATGACTGTTAAAAAGATAGACAATAAGTAGACATTTATTCTCTTAAAAAAAAAAAACAAACCCACAAGGTCTGAGGTTTTTATAAATAGCCAAGTATTCTTTAAACAGAATCCTTCCCATTGTGCCAAAATTATCTTTTCTTTTCTTTTGAAATACATGATTATTTTTGTACTTCTGTTTTGCCTTTCTTCAAAGGTATATGAGGCACTTTATTAATCTGAGCCCTCGAAACACCTCTGTGAGGTAGGTAAATAGTACTTTCCTGTGTAGTAAACCTGGAGTATGGAGAATTCATAATTGAGTTAATCCTACTCAGTATGCAATAAAGGGGCTCCAAGTCCTCTTGGACTTCTGCTCCATACTCAGACTTCTGGAAAGTTTTCTGTACCTCATTCTTTAGTCAGTTTCAAGGTTAGCAAAATAAATGAACAAGTGACATTTAAAAGAAAAAAAAAACAGCTACATGTTTTTGTATTGAAAGTTCCTTTTTTTGCCAATGTTATGTTCTAGAAAGTAATCTGAAAAAGTTTGACTTTTGTGATGTCTCTACATTCATCAATGTTGATAATTACCCAAATGTATCCACCGTGTCTACTAATACCGTTCAACGTGGGCATTATCCATTGTCTAGGGAATGAATTTTAAGTCACAATAAATATTTTTACATCAGTTTGTTTTGTATCAGTTTGGTTGCTTTCTGTCTTATTAGTTTTCTTCCCAATTATAGTGCCACTTCACTTGAATGCAAATATACATTTCATAATGTAATTCAGACTTCCAGAATTTGATGGCCAGGTAACAGTATATTCAAAAGTCAAATTGCTTAACTAATTTGATCCTTGCCTGCCCCAAAGTTAATATATCAGACCTGCAGAATCCTCTTGAGGAAAAGACACATTATTTTTAGATTCTTAATAATGATCCCACCAATCATTTAAGGCTTTTTTTTTTTTTTTTAAGATGCGGTCTTGCTATGTTATCTAGGCTGGCCCCAAACTCCTGCCTCAGTCTCCCAAGTAGCTGGTACGACAGTGGGAAAACAAGTGCATGCCACCATGAAAGCCTAATCATTTTTGGAATTCTTTTTCTTTTTTACACTACTGGGAATTGAGCCCAGGACCTATACATACATTACACAAACTCTCCACCACGGAGCTACGTTCCCTTTCCATTTTCTTTAGAGACAGGGTTTCACTAAATTTCTCAGGTAGTCCTCAAACTTGCGATCCTTCTGCTAGTTATATAAATAATTATTCAGGATTTGCCCTTTTTCCTAAGATTTAGCATTCAAAAAAATACTTAACAAAATCATATTGATTGGAATAATTTTTTTTTTTTTTGGACCCTGGAAGTACCTCCAGCTGAGTTCAGGAAGTGTGGTGTAGAGTTTGTCAGTCGCCCTCGCACTGGCTTTTTTTTTTTTTTAGCAGTTCCTCACTCCTTTCTGCCTCCTCCCTCTCAGGATGAGCCTTAAGGAGCCAGGTGCTGAACTCATTGTCTCTAGGGCAATCTTGTTTTCAGGAGACAGTTTCAGCCACTAACTTGTAAAGGCCCCATGAGGAACAATTCCCAAGTACTGCAATTCAGCATGAGGAGTTCATGACTGGATGGCAAGTGCTGATCTAGAAGTTCCATGACCTCAGGTAACCTCAACACCATCAGGATGTTCCTGGAAATGAAAGAGAGCTCTATTTTGAAGGAAATAATTCTTACTTTTACTGAAAAGGAGTAGTACATTAAACACAAAAAACACAATTTACATTAGCAGTGCTACACCCATTTTTTTTCTCTCTGATCAAAAACTTGGGACCTTTTGCTGTCTGATTAATTTTGTCAGAAGTGCAGTTAGTAAGATCCCTCTTTGAGTCTGGAGTTAGCCCAGCCAGGTGAAATGATCAGAGACTTAGGAACAAACACATGGATGCTATTTGGGGATGCAGTAAACACACTGGGGAAGGTTGTGATTCCACAAGCAGATTGCCTGGGTTGGAATCCTACCTCGTCCAGTGCCTGTAGCTGGGTGACAGTGAGAAAATGGTTAGCTCTCAGAGCCTCATTTTCTTTATTTATAAAACACACCATTGAGCTATTTTGAGAATTGAATAATACAGAGATCCTTGGCGTGTGATAGGCAGCCAGTAAACATTAGCCTTTGTTCTTCTTGGCCATTCTAAGATTATGGCTTCTCAGTACCTGCAGGAGGCGGCCAGTGTTCCTGGCACAGGTGAGGGGTAAATGATTGCAATAAAGGGCTTCATTTAGGAGAATAATGAGCCTTTTGTTATCCTTAACTTGTCCAACTGTCACAGCTCTTGCCCTCCCTGGAGAATGTTTCTGTCAAAATCTTTTATCCTCAGGGATTCATGACTCAGCAGATTTTTCTGGAATTGTCATTCAGAAGCTCTGACACCCAGCAAACAAAACAAAACACAAGCTGTTCCTCCACCAGTCAAACAGAATCCACCTTTCAAGTTGAATTGCTAGGGAAATTTGAACTTTTATTTTTTGCCTTAAAAATTTAAGGTGAGCAGCTCAGAAAGTGGGCTTGAAATGGGGTAGAAAGGAAATTAATCTGATTTGTTTACTGAGTGCTAATTGGCTTGAGCTCAGGGGCCACCTTACCCCACTGCCTTTCCAGTACGTCCAGAGACTTACTCTTGGGGGAATGTAATGTCTTGCCAAGTCTTCTGGGATTCTATTCTCAGCAGACTACAGTGACATTACTTGCTTTTTACTGCATGTATTTTTGTCCTATAGAGTCATTTACTTTTAATGCTTTCTCCTGGCAAAAAGGAGAAAATATATTTTTTCTAAGTGGTATTTTTTATCATTCTAATTTGTTATATATGACAGCAGAATGCATTACAATGCATATTACACACATAGAGCACAATTTTTCATATTTCTGGTTGTATACAAAGAATATTCACAGCATTTGTGTCTTTATACATGTACTTAGGGTAATGATATCCATCTCATTCCACCATCTTTCTTATGCCCATGCCCCTTCCCTTCCCCTCCCACCCCTCTGCCCCATCTAGAGTTCATCTAATCCTCCCATGTTCCCACCCTCCCGGCCAACCCCACTATAAATCAACCTCCATATATCAGAGAAAATATTCGTCATTTGGTTTTTTGGGATTGGCTAACTTCACTTAGCATTATATTCTTCAACTCCATTCATTTACCTGCAAATGCCATGATTTTATTCTCTTTTATTTATTTTATTCCATTATGTATATATACCACACTTTCGTTATCTGTTCATCTTTTGAAGGGCATCTAGGTTGGTTCCACAGTTTAGCTATTGTGAATTGTGCTGCATTAAACATTGATATGGCTGTGTCCCTGTAGTATTCTGTTTTTAAGTCATTTGGGTATAAACCGAGGAGTGGGATAGCTGGGTCAAATGGTGGTTCCATTCCTAGTTTTCCAAGGAATCTTCATACTGCTTTCCATGTTGGATACTCCAATTTGTAGTCGAACCAGCAATGTATGAATGTGCCTTTTTCTCCCCATCCTCAACAACACTTAATTGTCTTAATTAGAAAGGACTTCTCCATCCCAAGATTAATTTTTCTTGTTAATTTTTTTCATTCAACTAATATTTTTAGTTTGTTATGTCAGGTTTTGTCCCATACTTTTTAGTGGTGTATTACAGGTATTCATAATGATGGGGTATGTTGTTACATATATGTATATGCACACAATATAATAATATATTTTGGCCAATCTCCCCAAGATTAATTTTACAAATGCATGTCAGGATTGTTTCACCATAAGTTACAGGATATCAAATTAAAAACTTAAAGTATATTGAGAGTATTTATTATTTTGCATAGCAAAAAATTGGGAGCTAGTTCATTTTATGGCTCAGTGATGTCATCCGGGACCAAGGCTCCTTATGTCTTTCTGTATTGCAGTCAAAAGCTTCAGAGTTAACTCTCTTCATTGCCTGAGAAGGCTATATGTCCACCTTTGAAATATCACATGTAGACAACTACAGAGGTAGAAAACGGAGGTTCCTCCTCAGACTGCAGGTTCCAACAAAGTAGAAAATCATCTCAGAAGGCCATGGCAAGTCTCAGATCTGAATCATGTCCGGTGCCCATTTCCAACGCAGTCAATGGCATTAGAGAGAAAACTCAAAATGACCCATGGAGATTTAACACTGGGATTTGGGAGGGTCCTGAAGAATATCTGAACATAATCTAGGTATTGAGAGCAAGGAAGAAGAAAGAAATCAGCAATGAGCAGTTTCGCAGATTCATTTCTTACACATAAACCTTTGCTCCACCATAAATTGATGTTGGGGTAAACAATGAGTTAGGAATCAAATTTATTTCCCTCCCGAAGTTGCTAAATGTCCTATTTATTAAATATTTTTTCTTTTAAATCAGTTTTGTTATAGTTTTCCTAAGAAATTTAGGAAAACCTGCTGATACTGCAGGAACTTCTGGCCAATTCTCTTTCACAATCATATAAAGCCACAGTGAGACAGACAACTCCTTCAACTCACATTGCTTAGATCACACCAAACCCACAGTGTACGAACTCACAAAGTCATATCTTCTGTGCATCTAAAGCCTCTACAAACAAATAGTATAGGATGTAACTTAAAATCCATGTACCCTACGCTGAGAAATCACATAGTTTTATGTGACGGCTATTTTTATTCTGAAAACTGGGGTCTTCAGTGTCCTTGCTTATATGTATATGTATGTGTGTGTGTATATGTATATATATATAAATATATATATATATA